GCGGTGTTTGTAACCACGTGCAAACGCTTACGCGCGCATCTCTCAATGCGGCCTTTTAAAGGAGTGACGTCACAAAGTGTGGGGGTGGGGGGGTGCCTCTTTTCCAATACGTCGTGACCATTGTGGAAGAGAAGGCCTATTACATTTTCTCTCGAGTCTAGAGCAGTGTTCTTCACTAGTTTTCGCGGGGGGGGGGGGGGGGGGGTGGCACTTTGGCTGATCAAACATCGTCAGTGTAAAGGCAGTCACACATTTGACAACATTGCCGCGTTTGACAGCAGCACGAGGTATGTGGAGTGTTCTCGCTTTTCTCTATTGTGGGGGGCCGCACTAAAAGGGGTCGTCGGTGGCCCCGCGAGGCCTCGCAGTGAAGAACACTGCTCTCTCGAGATACTCGCGGGGGTCCTTCCGCCAGGAGCGGCGTGAGCAATTGCAGGGCTGCACCTTTACCTATCGACGAGGGAGAGTTTCGTCGTAAAGGATTCGTTGCAATCCTCATCTCCCTGCAATTGGGGAGGCGTCGCTGTGCCACCCACTCGCAGTGGTCACCACGAGTGGGGCTTTCCGCTCGCTGGCAAACACATTGCTGGCCACGAGGGCCAAGAGGCGTTTGGTCGGTACCACTTGGGGTGGCAACTACTACCAGTGACCACCACGGCCAATCTCCACCATCGGCCAATGTTCACTGCAGCAAGCTGCACCAGAGGTCGCAAACGGGTTTTGATTCCGTACCCGTACCCGGCCACACCAAGGTCGCAAACGGGTACCCGTACCCGGCCGTACCCGTACCCTACCCGTACCCGGCCGGGTACGGGTAGGGTACGGGTATCGGGTACCTGATTGCGACCTCTGGGATGAAGCCATGTTGCAGGCGCGGGTGGGTTGATTCTAGGAACTTGAATTGTGCGAAGAGACAAGACGTTGGGAAATGAGTGACAAACAGTTACTCACCAGTGACTCACGGTCTACCCGGCCGCACCAGGGTCGCAAACTGGTACCCGTACTCGGCCGGGTACGGGTAGGCGGGTATCGGGTAGGGTACGGGTATCGGGTACCCGGTTGCGACCTCTGGTCCTTACCATGGGCAGTGTTCAACATGGGCAGAAGCTGTTTTTTCTTTTTTAAACACCCTGATTATTTTCATGTTCCTTAGACGTTTTATATCACTATTTTGTTTACGACAAACTACGGTGACCCATGTTTAGCAACCTTTTTCTCATAATAAAGCTACAAACTTGGGCTTGCTATATCATACAGGTTTGTGAACTCGCGATAAAACACTGAAAGAAAAGCATTGCTAGTATTTGCCACCGTGGGTTGTACTGGTATTTAATATGTTGGGTCCATGGCAAGGCACACGATTAATCTTGGAAGCAGTAACTCCACTGTACTTTATGATGCCGCTCAAATGGGTCGTGCTGCATCGAGAGCTTCATTTCTCATTCGAAATTTTCCGGAACACTGCTTGGAGTAAGCGATTTCACTGGTCAACACACTTTTTTCTGGCCTAAGGTATTCCAACGGTTTTAAGGTAATTTTGGGGTGCTGATTCCAAATCTGGCATCAGTTTTTGTCTATCACATCAGGTTTTTGAGATATCAAATATTGCATTTTCAATAAAAACTGCAGAAGAAAAATATTAAATAAATGTGGCTATCTACATAAAATGATATTATAAACACACTATCCTAAAAATACAGCACCATATTTTAACACTAAAGCAGTCACTGACTCGCAACAACTTGCAATCATAAGTGACAGAGTTAATTTCGGGTAAAATCAATGAAAATGGGGTATGCCGATAGCATAAAATGAGATGTGATAGAGCAAATCTGACATCAGAGTTGGAATCAGCACCCTGAAATTAGTCTAAAACAGCTGCAATAGTCCAGGCCAGAAAAAAATGTTTTTATTTTGTTGACCAGTGTTATCGGCGTAAGTCACTACCACCAGGTGGCGCACTTCATGTTTTAAATCTCGCTCAAATCTAAGCTGTTGGGCGTGAACTCAGCCCATCACCATCCCTTTCGGGGGTGGGAAGTCAACGGTGATTGATTCTGCGGAGAGCCTCGCTCCCGGCAGAGGAATGTGGACATTACCACCCCTGGCTCAGGGTTGTAAACATTTAATCAAAAAGATGGATGTGGCATGCTAAGATAATTTCCGGAGCGGTGTTCCGGATTTGTTCCGGCTGAAGGCCACAATATCGCGGGTGCGGTTAGGAAATATTTAACACCAGGGTTGCAATCGCCATGACCTTTGAAAACAATTGATGAACAGCTTTGGTTTTCCTGCGCCAAAATAACAGCGTGTTAAAACATTTTAACATGAAGGGAAATTTAAATGACTGTATTTTTGCATAATTATTAAAGAAACGAGTTATTAAAATTATTGCATGGAAATGTCCACTGTGCATTTTATACTGAGAGCAGAGTTCGTCTTGGCATGTCTGTCAATGGATACTAATACCGATTTTGTTATCTATGAAAACAAAAGCCTGCAATTTAAATATGAATGTCTTTTTACCCTGAAACTCTTGCCATTTATGCAGGGAAGTAATATTTATAAATGCTACCGTGCGATATTTACAGGATCTTTCAAAAGGGCCCTCGTGATAATTACGAGTTTCCGCACGGCCAGAAGACAAGTTGTTAATTTTTGTCAACTTCCAGACCAAGATGACCCATGCAAGTGCGGTGCAATCGATGGGGTGAAATCCTAACAAAAGGCCATCGATTGCATCAATATTGATGAAATATTGCATTGTTACTGCACCATGCAATCAGGGGCACACTTCGGCTGCATCCCAGGCACACCCGTTGGAGCCGGATTCTAAATACGTATTGCAATCATTTCATCAGCGAGTGAGTTCGAGCCACATGACCACTTCAATAGTGTGTGCGTGTTGTGGAGAGCGGTGGCGCAGTGGTTAGCCCAAATAGCGCGAACGAATCGAGTTAAATGTCCCCGCTCGCAATCAATAACAGTGACGAAGATATGAAACGGTCCTGGGCCTCGCCTAGGTCGACTTGGCCTTAAACGAGCAACTGGTGCGGTGTGTAAACATCGGCACTGGGAAGACAAAGGCGGTCGGGTGTGGTGCTGGCCACCCATTTCTTTGTGTAACGTCCCGGCCTTCATTGGTGCTCGTCATAAATGGCATTCCTCCCGACAGCCTGTTGAAAACTATCAAGTATGGGAGAGACCTGTTAACTTCAAAAAGTCATCATTGTCAACACGTGGTAGCGTGCCTAACGTCGCCGCGTGATGTGACGTCACCGCGTACTCCGTCGGCATCGGCAGGGTGTGAGCGTGATGACGTCACCGCGCATGCAACGTGGTGACGTCATCGACTCTGTCCTCACGTAAACCTTTTATTTAGAAATCACCGAGGTCTGAGTGGCAATGTCATTTTAAAACGTCGCTCCTGTTATAATTATTTAGTTTGTTTATTTTTAAACCGCTCCCCAGAGCCCGGAGGAACATTTCTTGCGGTGTTGTTGCAAATTCTCAGAAGTGTTCAATATTTTTTTAAAGCGCCCTGTATTTATGTGTGTGTGCAACATCGCCCGCTAGTGTAAAGCTTTGAAGGACCCTCCATGCAAAACAAGTCTTTGAGACTCAGCGATGAGGCTATCCTGGGTTCAACGTAACACACCACACTCAGACCTCGCTGATTGCGGTGAGCACTCATGGAATCACCGTTAACAACGGGGTCATTTATACCCACTGCGTAATCCTCTCTGCTGATTGGAATGGCACAGCCATCGACGGGTCGTGACTTGGGTCAGCTGCTTCAATTTAATCACTTCACAAGAAATTGTACTTGCCCAAAACGTGAAAGAACCTGCAAATATACCGAGCGGAGCATGAAAGCATCCCAATGAAAAGTCTCAAATGTAACTAATAATAACTTGAACTATTTTTTTTAAGAAATAAAAAAACATCCAAGAACACGGAATCTTAGATTTTTTTCACTTTTATCTTCAACGCAGTTGAACAAAAACACAGCAAAAATGTGGATTCTCCAACCTGTTCCGTGTCTGTGTGGGATAGTGTGTTGCCCCCTCGCCGGCGTGGGCTATCTCCCGCATGTGGACACTAATTGTTATTGGCTGATAACACCTTAATATATTGGGGATCGCAGAGCTTAATCAATAATCATTGGTAGGGCCGCGTGGCTGCTGCTTTCCCACTCGTCTGTGGTCCCTCCACGCGCCTCTGAGTCTCTCTCTCTTCGAGACTGAGCAAGTACTGTGCAGCGTTCCAAGTTCAAATTATATTATATATAAAAAAGAAAGAGCACATTCTAGGCGATGTTCTGGACAAATTACCCTTCTTTTTTAAAGCTATGTACAATGCTCCCGACGAATGTGTTAAGATTGTTTTTTTCGGAGGCTACTTGGGCACCACTGCCAACGCAAACATCACCGAGTAATTTGAAAACGAACGAACCTTGATTTTGTTCAATTTAAACACTTACGGTTGATTTGGTAACACCAGGGTATGTTCCACTTAATTCAGCAGAATGCACTGGCGTAGACATTATCATCAAGGGACTCTGTGATGAGCAAAGCAAAATGCGACATCCCGGCCTAAAACACACCAGGAGAGTTCAACCGAATGCAATTTAAACTTTTCCTGTAAGAACAAGACCCATGGACTCGACTTCCCTCCACCGGCTCTCCTACCTCTTCCCTCTCATCTCACTCTGCTCCCCTCCACGCACTCTCCTACCTCTCCCATCTCATCTCACTCTACTCCCCTCCACGCACTCTCCTACCTCCCCTCCACGCACTCTCCTACCTCTCCCCTCTCATCTCACTCTACTCCCCTCCACGCACTCTCCAACCTCTCCCCTCTCATCTCACTCTACTCCCCTCCACACACTCTCCTACCTCTCCCCTCTCATCTCGCTGTTACAAGACTCCCCTCCACGTGCTCTCCGACCCATCAGGTAATCTCACTCTACCGATTCATTTCCATAGCTGGGAGTTTATTCAAGTTAAATGCAACAACAAAAAACAAATGAATGCGATAGAAAAGTCAGAAACATATTTCCCGACGAATGCCCATGGAGCTTTCCACGACTCGGCTGGCAGACGAGATCCAGTAGCAAGGCGTGCGACTCTCTCGCTGTTGACTGCGGTGAGGACATCAACTCGCACTGCACATTGAAATGACGGGTGGGCGAAAGCTGGATTAAAAATCCCAGGGATCGGCGCTCCGGGTCTTGCCACCGGTAAGAAATCGGCTCCCCCCTTGAAATGCAATAGCAAAGACGTGGATGTCGCAGGTTTTTCGTATTCAAAGAACTCACACAACTGCCGTAAATTCAGGTATTACAACTTTTATGTTTTAAATCTAGTACAAACGGCCATACATACATACACATTCATTTACTACAGTGTCTCAACAGATGACGAAACCTTTGCAACAAGGATCCCCGTGTACAAAAGTCACATAGTAAACATCTCGTTTTAGTTTGCTTAACATATACAATTTTACAAATTAAGAGTTCCCAATTATTATTATATAAAAAAAGGCAACAGCCGTTTTTTTGGTCAAAAATCACGAATCGTATATACCACGTGGGAACACATCCCTCCCGACCGTTCACCGACATTCTCATAGTTTTCATCCACGATAAGCACGAACGTATATATATATATACATACACATCTTACCCATTTATACATAGTACAACATTTAGTGCCAATATCAGACAAAAGCAAATCAATGAACGTCTTAATTTTTTACGAAGGTTTGTTACCATAACATGTATACATTCACGTGTGTGCGTGAGCTCAGTAGTAACAGAAATTCGAGACGGTTATGAAAACAAAAACGGAAACGTGATGTTATAGCTGTAAAAAAAAACCCCAACAATTTTTATTCAGACGTCAAACATATATCATAATTTACAGTCCATTTGTCAATAAATTGCGTTGATCTTGGGGGAGGATTTGTTGGACCACGTGGGTCAGAGAGGGTTGCTGAATTGGGAGTAGCCAGAACTGGTTCTGATATCACCTCGCCACCGATGTTAATCCAGGCCAGGAATCAAACTTAGCTCACCGAAATGACAACACAAGGGTGCAATGCACTGCGCCACAACTCAATCTCATCAAACACATTTACTTATATTCCACTTTTCATCCTATCTGAAATTATGGTCAAATTGTTTTGTTTGACTTAATAAATTAGTTTAAAAAATATTGCGAAACAATAAAGTCATTCTAGATTTGAAGCTTTCGTGACTGCAGGGATTCATATTTTTAGGTTTTTTCAGTAAAGTCACGTAGGTAAAAAATTTAAATTAATAAAAGTTAAATAAAAATAAAATAAAAAATCACGACGTTTCGGAGGCAACACAAGCCTCCGTCTTCAGGTGGAACCGTCACAGCATTATTTATTTTATTTTAATTTTATTAATTTTAATTTTTTACCTACGTGACTTTACCGAAAAAACCTAAGAAAATAAAGTCATTATACAAATAGCATCCAGACAATCATTTAGCAAAGTTAATAGAAGGTATTTTGTAAATAGGCAAGTCATTTGAAGACCACCTTATAACATGTACAAAATAAAAGGGAACACGTTCTCTCCAAACCTTCTGAATGACAACAAACGTAAGTGTTGTATTGTAGTCCAAAGTATCCTCACACAATCTGTTCAATTTACATATGAATGCTTTTAAATCAATAAACATTTTACGTCAGCTGACCGGTATACATTGACGACTGTGAGTCCCACCAGCTAGCTGCACTTGAGAATCCAGTTGAGGGGTCTACGATACATTCCTGACCCGGGTGCTTTACGGAGTTGGTATCTTCTCCTGCTGGCAGAGAAAGACCTCCCAAACATGTACGCTCCCGGATTGGTTGAAGTGCGTCACGTGACCGCGAGCTTTCTGTCGTGCACGAATGCGCTGTCCAACCAAGTTCCTACCTGCCCACTCCGAAGCAGAGGTCGCAAACGGGTTTTGATTCTTTACCCGTACCAGTACCCGGCCGTACCAGGGTCGCAAACGGGTACCCGTACCCGTCCGTACCTGTACCCTACCCGTACCCGGCCGGGTACGGGTAGGGTACGGGTATCGGGTACCTGATTGCGACCTCTGGGATGAAGCCATGTTGCAGGCACGGGTGGGTTGATTCTAGGAACTTGAATTGTGAGAAGAGACAAGACGTTGGGAAATGAGTGACAAACAGTTACTCACCAGTGACTCACGGTCTACCCGTACCCGTACCCGGCCGCACCAGGGTCGCAAACGGGTACCCGTACCCGGCTGGGTACGGGTAGCCGGGTATCGGGTAGGGTACGGGTATTGGGTACCCGGTTGCGACCTCTGCTCCGAAGGAACGTGTTGGTCCACTCTTCCCACACTTTACCCCCCCCCCCCCCGTCACCGGCCGATCGACCGGATCTCCGTTTAAACTTGCTGGGCGGACAGAGAAGCAGGCAGGCCACCCTCTGGACGGCAAGCCTATTGTGCCATTACATCACCACGACAGCACCCCCCCACCCCAGCATACAAATATTGAGAAGTTTAGAAGTTTATTTCTCGAGCAAAGCCCCATTGACTTGCGTAAAGGAACTCGCATTTCTCAATAACAATGCGGCCTTAAAAGGAAATACAAATAATGAGAAACGTTTCAGACAATGGTCCTTCTTCATCACACATACATTTGAAAAAGGGCCACTCCCTGAAACGTCACCTGCTATATATTTTTCCTTTAAGGCCACGGGTGTTATTGACACGGAACGCGTTGAGATTTTTTGTCGCTGTTGATTGTGCTTATGCAACGCAGCAGCAGCAGCGAGTAGTTTGTTTAACATTGACCTCTACGGCTCTAATTCAAGGGGCGACTTCCCCAGTAGGCAAAATATTACATTCCATTAAACACGCACTAGGCCCAGGGTGTGTACACTGTACGTTAAGTTTGTTAATTAAAAAATATTTCTTTCAAAAATGGCCAACCATTTTACATATTACTCTATCTCATAAAAGCATGAAACGTACCATGGTAATAAAACAAATGCATCAACTTTGCATGTAGTGTAAAAAAAAAAAAACTCCCCAGCATAAATACATTCATATTTTTCAGTTTTTCTTAATCAAAACATTTCTCACCATGAAAAATGGAATTATTGTCAGTTGACGGCAATTAGACCTCGATGACGTAGATGGTGGCGTTTCCACTCGTACATAATTGGTACGGGCAGTATATCTATATCAGATGCATGGTCCATACGTACTGCTTAGCACTATTTCAACCCTTGAGTGCTTTTGCCAAACCACTTCTGGATGAGGGCCTCCCCCCCGTGCAGTGTCGTGTGGGTTAACCGACCACAATTCGCCACGCTGGTCATTGTGGAGTGGTGAAGGCTGGCAGCGCACCTTCACGTTGGGAGCATAGTGCAGGTAAACGATGGGATTTGTCGCACTCTCCTCTGCTGACAAGTTAGGCCCGCGGCAGCCTACACCTGTTTCATGTGTGGCGGTCACCGCCCATTCCATCCAAGCGCTATCCAGCCTCGACCTCGCTTCGCGTCCAAGATTGGGGCGCGTTCCGGCCGATTCGACCACGGGCAAACCATTTAGCCTGCGCGGTTTACAAAACGCCGTCCCAAACGCCCACTCGCCAGGATGCGCGACTGTTAGTGCAACCACATTCTGTTTACTTTTTTTCACACGTGGCGAAAAGACGGCGGCGGCGACGATGACGTAGCACAGTCCTCACGGGGCAGCGCGGAGAGAGCGGAGGTCACGCGCTCGTGCTGTCCTGGTGGTGGTGGTGGTGCGGCGAGTTGGCGCCCAGAGTGATGTGCCTCGGCTGTCCCGGCAGCTCCCGGCTGTTGCTGTTGCTCTTGCAGCTGTTGTGCCGCGCGGGGGACGGGAGGACCGTCGCGCTACGCCTGCTGTTGGGCGTGTGTCTGCTGCGGCGGGCAAGAGAAACGCAGCACACGTCACACCCAAGGAGGGTCGCGCTCTCGCCAACAATATTCGGCAACCGCAGCGGTTTTTTGTTTAACGTGCCTGACTGGCTCCGCCAATGAGCCCCCGGAGGGTCGAAACCGGTACCAGGGTTTTGCTTTCTCGAACAAATTGCTTTGCAGCGGTGATTTGGCCGGGCGGTCGCGCGTTTGCCGCTTGTTGCAGAGGTTCGCGGTTGGTGCCCAGCGGCCTCCCTGGTTAATACTGAGGGTGCATTAACCTGGTCCGCTTCACAATGGAAGTTAAAGATCTCGTGACGCTATAAGAGAAAGTATAAGGCAGTGTTACGTTCCAAATTTGAAACATTGCCCACAAATGACTCACTAAGGAGAGCACATCGCCCCCTACTGTGACACTTCTGCACAACATAACTGTATGTACGCAGAACGTCTTTTCGCACCATACGTAGCCAACCACGCGAATCGGAGGCGCGAAAACACCGTGCGAAACGCTGCGCCCTCGCAATAGCCGCGCGCTACAACCCAGGTGTCATTATCACTCACAGCGGTTATTCTAAACCTGCCCGCTGGTGGTGCAAGCGGCAGGCAAAACATCGACCGGGCCACCGCGCCTCCCGACCGACTTCACTACGAAAATAAAACGGCGAACGTTGGCTCTCGCAGCGCCGCGAAAGTCTTCCCGCGGGCGGGGGGGGGGGGGAGGGGACGGGCGGAAGGGCCGGGGGAGCGAACCTGGCATCGGGCGGCTTGCCGTGCGTGCCGCTCACGCGGCTGTGCTGGCTGCTGGGCTTGCTGCTGCTGCCGCAAAGCCCCGGTGGCGGCGGCGGCGGCGACGTCGCCGCCTCCTCTAGCGCGTTGGAGGAGGAGGCGTGCGTGGACGTGCCCTGCGTCGAGGTGCCACGGGACTTGCGCGGCGCGGACGCCAGCAGCGTCTGGGAGCAGACGTCGTGAGACTCCTCCAGCACCCGGCGGCTCTCGTTAACCACCGCCCTTGCGGGGTGGGAGGGGGAAAGGGATTGCATATTTTAGCACAAGCCTGCGTGGTTAATGCACACTTGATGCCTTGCAATAGGTGTCTGTTTGGTGTTTGAACATCTTAACACCGACTGCATTATCGCGGGAAAGGGTAAAGCGGTAACAAGGGGTCCTGTAGATCAGTCGTTACTCTCAACCTTAATTGCCTACTGTAGTCCCCCCCCCTTCCTGACCCAACATGCTTCCGAGATAATAAATGTATGAATAATGAACATTGATATTTTAACCAAATGTCCATCTTGTGAGGTATCCTAACTCACTAGTAACTGCGCAACCATCATTTGGCCGTGCTCGTTGGTTAATCTTTAGAAACCGCATTGTTTTCAATCAAAGTGACCATATGGATTCATACGTGATTATTCACCAATGACTCACGCGTGATATAATTTCACACATTTATGAATCACCTCACTTACCCCCTGGAACATTGCCACGTGGACCCAGGGGTAGGCGTACCCCCGGTCGAGAACCACTGCCGTAGATAATACGAATATAATCTGTTGTTACATTTGTTGTGCGAGTGTGGATATGAGCGTGTGGGTGAACAGAGCCGGCTGTCCAGATCGGGAGACGGACGGCACTCACTGCTTGTGCCGTCGTCCCGACAGAAAGGCCGCCCATCCCAGACACGTCTTGCGGCTGCCGACCCAGAAGGCGGGTGGGATTCCGACGACGAGCGTGGTGAAGTACTTCACCAGGAAGAGCACGAGAGCCGGCCGCTGCTTCGGCTGGTTCGCCTGCGTCGCGGTCGACACAAGACGCGCCCAAACGTCACCGCGCGTTTCTGCGAGAGTCGATCGTCGTCAAGGCCGCCGGCGCAAACGGAACCACGCAAACGAGACGGGAAAATAAAATAAAATTCGCGAATCGGCTCAGGGCCGCGAAAGTCCATCGAATCGCTGGAGGCATCGCTGCCAACGATCAACGCGCCCGCCCTTACCCACCGCACCTACCTGGTAGGGGCACGGAATGCGGTACTCGGTGCAGCGATCGCGCAGCCACGTCGCCTCCCAGGCGGCGCGCGACGCCTGCTCGTACACGAGGCACGCCACGAGCGCCAGCTGCGGCACGAGGTAGAGCACGCTGAACACGCCGATGCGCACCATGAACTTGACGAGCTTCGTCTGGTTGCGCCCGTCGTGGCGCATCTCGAGGCGCACGCGGTTCAGCGACACGATGCCGGCGAGCAGCAGCGAGAGGCCCGCGGCGGCGCACACGCCCAACGGCGCCAGCACGAAGTAGCGCAGCGTCGTCACGTCGTAGAGGCCCGCGAAGCACACGCCGCTCAGGTTGTCGCCCTCCACCTTGTTCAGCGCCAGCAGCGCCACCGTGAGCGCGGCCGGCGGGCCCCAGGCGAGCGCGTGGAACGCGGCCGCCCTCTTCTCGATGGCCTCGCGCCCCCACTTGAGGCCCGCGGCCAGGAACCACGTGATGGTGAGCACCACCCACCAGAGGGCGCCGGCCATCGCGGAGAAGTAGAGCAGCATGAAGACGGCGGTGCACGCCTTGTTGTTGCGCGAGCCCTGCGTGACGGTGGCGGCGGCGCCGGGCGCCAGCCCCGGCGCGTTGCAGGCGGCCGCGGAGTCGTCCAGGAGGAAGCCGACCAGGAAGGAGAGCGAGACGGCGACGTAGCAGGTCGCGTAGAAGATGATGGGCCGCTCCGGGTAGCGGAAGCGCTTGCGGTCGAGCAGGAAGGTGAGGAAGGTGAAGGTGGTGGCGACGAGGCACACGACGGACATGACGCCCACCAAGTAACGCGTGAGCTCCAGCTCGCCGGAGCTGAAGTACATGTTGGGGCACGGCGGCGAGCAGTCCGGCACGCCCATGAATGAGTAGCCGAGCCCCGACGGGACCTGCGGGTTCACGCGGCGAGGGTCACGGCATTGCGGTGTGCGGGATCTGTCCAGGCGTTGACATCCTAAAGTTTAGTTTCTCTGTTCCCAATGACCTTTGCGAAGAAGTTACGAGGTCGAAACAAAGCGGAATAGTAGCCAATGGGGGAAAATGCGTCCACCGCGGATGAAAATCGGCTCGTGCAGATGAGTGGACGGCTTTACAATGGGCCTGTATTACCACGGAGGTTTGCACGGTTGTGCTGCTTCGAGTGCGCACGTCTTTCCGGAGCATGCTGCTTGATATCCGGCACGGGGTCTGACATTTCCAGTGGACGTGCGTGTGGGAACACAGGCCGACCCGGGCTCTATTTGCCGTGGCACAGATCACGCGTCCTCTTTCCCCACAAGGTGGCAGCGTTAAAGAAGGCTTGGGTCCAAAAGTAAATTTTTTCGCTCATTTATTTTTTACATTTTTTTCTTGCCTCCGTCCGCAAGCCCTTGGTGGCTGACAAGAGGGGGGGGGGGGTGGCTCCGGCTTGCGCCAGTGCGTGAGTGTATGTACGCAAGTTGAACTTCTTTCGCACCGCACGTAGCCTACCGTGTTGATCGGAGGTGGTCAGTTTGGGGGGCTCTGAGTATAACACCCCCCCCGAACAAAACCCACCTTTTAATTCATACAATCCTCGTATAGTATTGAGATACTAGAAATGTAAACAAATATGTGAGATGTAGTGAGATGACAGTAGATATTTACAAACTAAACTAAGCAAATACATTTTTTTACTAAACTTGTATTATTTTACCCGGTATGTGGAACCACTGAGCTACATAGCTCTTTTTTTAGAAACAACCTGGCCCCAAATGACAGCTCAAAGAAGTGGCTTATCACGTGGAAGTTAATAGTAGCCAAATACTCGAAAACGCACGTCGATTTTAAAAGTGGAGGGGAAAAGCCGGAGTACCCGGAGGAAAATCCACGCAACCGTGGGGAGGACATGCAAACTCCATTTACACAGGCCTCAGGGTCGGGATCGAACCCACAGCCTCCTGCATTCCAGGCAAGGGAGTTAACATCTTCTTGGTTCTTTCGATAAAGTCACGTAGAAGGGAAATAATACAATAATAAAAATAAAACATAAATAATTCTCACGACGTTTCGGCCACAGCGCAAGCAGCCGTCCTCAGGTGAAGAACAGGTCTGTTGGAAGAACAGCCCATTCAGACGCTGTCTTTCCGACAAACCTGTTCTTCACCTGAGGACGGCTGCTTGCGTTGTGGCCAAAACGTCGTGATAATTATTTTATTATGTTTTATTTTTATTATTGTATTATTTCCCTTCTACGTGACTTTACCGAAAGAACCAAGAAGATGAATCCCTGCAGTCACGAAAGCTTCAAATCGGAGTTAACATCTTGCCACCGTGGCGCCCACAAAAGACAGGGCGACGACCCACTCCTGGTGACCAGGACAGCCTCGCACACCCCCCCCATCTCCTCCCACCGCCACCACACCCCCCCGGATCCACTGCCATTGGTACCGACCTTGAGCTCGCGCGGACACCAGAAGCCGTAGTCGCGCTGGGCCAAGTGTTGGGTGGTCTGCGGCGTCGCGCCACTCGCCACCGGCCGCGGCGACATGGGGTAGGGCTCGTCGCACTCCTCCAGCCTGGACCACGGCAACGGCAGGCGTGCAATTAAGTTGTGGGCGCCACGGTGGCGAGATGTTTACTAGCTCGCCTGGTAGGCAGGAGGTCGTAGGTTCGATCCCGACCCTGATGACGCATGTATATTGGGAGTTTGCGTGTATCTCTCTTTGTCTCCCCGTGGTTAAATAGATTTTCCTCTGGTATTTGACTCCTATAAATGTCCACGCGATAAGCCACTTTATTGAGCTATCATTTGTGGTCAGGTCGCTTCTGAAAAGGAGATATACAGCTCAGTGGGCCTTACCTGGTAATTTATTTTCTGATTTGTTTACCTTTCTGATACTTTGCACTCCAATCGTGTTTTTGTATTGCTTGTTGTTGTAACTTGCTTACCCGCCCTGACTGGACATCTGTGAAATAGAGCTTTACACCTCATGGGATTTCTCCGGAAAAAATAAATATTCCGATTGTGATTTCTGCGAGCGATGCAAACGGCTCTGAGTTTCGGCTGCCTAATTTGAGCGGTGAATAAATGCAATTCCTAAATTTTAGACAGCAATAACAAGGAAACAGATACTCTTTGGTTCTTTCGGTAAAGTCACGTAGGTATAAAAGAAAATAAATGGTGATTTATTTTATTTTATACCTACGGGACTTTACCGAAAGAAAATAAATGGTGATTTATTTTATACCTACGGGACTTTACCGAAAAAACAAAAGAGTATGGATTCCTGCAGTCACGATCTTTTGAGTGCGTGCGTGCGTATGTGTGTGTGACGAGGGGGGAGGCAAAGCGATTTCTGGGTGTGTCGGTTAAAATGTCAACACCTGAGCACGTAACTTCTTTTTGTAAAAGCAAATCTGAAGTGAAAATGTAAAGCCTGGATAAGAGCATTCCATCAATCCACTCGCGAGCCACGTGTCCCCGTGCGCTGGTAAACGGGCGATTTACGATTCGGATGCCCGCTCCTATAGTAGCAATAATAAAGCCTTCAAACAGTTTCATTTCCGTTTCAAAATGAAATAATTTCACGCTGAGCAAATCCTGTGAAATCGCATTTATACAGAGGCATGCACAGGAGGTGAATGTGATCAATTAAACTCTACTTTAATTAGAAAAATGAGGCACATGCGAGTCTCTGGAGGGGGGGGGGAGTGGTGGGGGCACGAGTCAAACACTGCCAACGGACACCATTAGTCAGAGCGGATGTTTAGCGCCTCCCTGGTACCACGCTCTCGTTCGCGGCCTTAATTAGAAACCCAGCCGTGTGGAACGACAAAAAACTTCACTTTCACACGTCCCCCCTCCTCCTCCTCTTAGCCTCCCCCCCTCCCAGCCGGCTGTCTGTCCGCACGGCCGTCCGTTCGTGCGACCGTCTGCGTGACAATCCGTGCACCTGCCCGCTTGACACTCTGTCCCATCCATGTGTCCATCCGTTCGTCCATCCTTCCATGAGAGTCCATCTATCAATGTGATTATCCGTCCATGTGTTTGTCCGTTCGTACGTCCGGCATCGATGTGTCCGTCCGTATGTTCGTCCATTCGTGTGTCCATCCGTCTGTATGTTTGTGTGTTCATCTATCGGTCCTTCCAGCTCTATAGAGCTCCCACGAGTGGAAGCCTTCACACAGCAGTATTGAGCAAAAACACTTGCAGGGGCTGCACCCTTACCTCTTATCCTTCAATGGCAATTGTAAGTTGTGGACGTGTGAGCGAGTGGGGGCTGTGTGAAGCGGGCAGCAACACAAAGTGATTGCCACAAATGAACCACAAATCAAGATTGAACCGCAATACCTCGCTGATCTCGTCAAGGAGCATAAACCATCATCACGCGAGCTCCGGTCGTCATCCTCGCAGCAGCAGCGGCGTTTGGTTAACCGTCGAACGAAAGGTGGTGGTATTTGTCGCACTCGTTACACACAGAGTGCTTGCCACAAATTAATCACAATACCCTTGCTGGTCTCGTCAAGGAGCTTGAACCATCACTCGAACCAGCGCCATATCCTCGCAGCAGCGGCTTTTTTATTGTCATCGAACAAAGGCGGTCACCACGTCGCGCGCTTTCAAATGCGCTTCTGCGGCCTTCTGGAAAGGTCTACCTTCCGATATTGGGAAGCCACTGAAGCTATGCACTTTTAAATCTAGATTGCAAACTCACTTCTTCAGAACTGCTTTTTGTGTTGTTGTCCTTCACCGGCACCTCCGATTAGCACGGTTGGCTACGTATGGTGCGAAAGAAGTTCAACATACGTACGACTGCACATGCAGCACGGTGACACTCACCGTTCAGCTGGTAATAACACAAAATGTGAGGCAGTGTTTCTCACGAGCCTAATGGAGCAATTTTCACGCGATAATGTTGCTTACAATAAAAGTTTACGTCCGCGTTGCTGCGTTTAAGACACGTGATGGAATGGTAAATGCGCAACCTTGCAAAATGTCATGCCCACATGCCCCTGTTGGTGACAGGGCCTCGACTAGTGATAGCTATAGAGTGTATTGTGGCCTGCTCTACCATGCTTGGCAAACGTGGGAGGACCCACCACACTTGACCCCGCCATGCGCGACCTGCCGATCGACGCACTACAATGTACCCATTGATACCACGGCAGCAGCAGCATCCATGTTTTAAGATAGGCTGCAATAATTACCGGCGAAACGTCGTGCTCGATTCACAATTCATAATGAAGGTTTTTTTGAACTCGAATTGTAAATGTTGTGGGTTTACTCTCCAACACACCGGTGTGCTGAACCAGTATCGAATTGGCACGTTCTGTTTACGTGACAAACCTTACCAATTGGCTGTGTTGGGTGGTGGCGCGTTTGACGACACATTTACTCTATATTTACGCGATCTAACAAAAAAACCCACCTCAAGTATGGATAATATTGGTCACGAAAGCCTCCGTGTTAAACTGAATATTGAAAAAATAAAGTTGTTTGTTACCCTGCAACACACAAACTCGTTTGAAGCGTGTTGATGTTGCGTGAGCAACGACACACCCATTGGCTGGATGGTGTCACGTGACCGCCAATGCAAGAGGGCTGGTTGTTTTTTTACGTGCGAGACTGAATTAATGTGTTTATTAGTGAGAAGGCTGCATCGTGCTATATTTATAAAGATAAAGAGCACGGACACCTTTGTTACTGGTGCTTATTAGCAACAATAAATAAATGCAAAGGGCCGAGTAGGCACTGTTTCTTGCCGATATCCCCCGCCAGGCTCCAAGGGGTTAGGTTGTCCAGGCGTGGTGGGAGGGCAGGGTTGGGCCTCCCCGCCTTGTACCGCGTTAATGATCGTAGATACAGGCGGCAATTAATTTTAATTGCTCAGTAACACGCAACCACATTGCAAACACAGAAGCGATGAAGTCGCCGCGTCCTACGTGAGACGTCGCGCCACATTTGAAGAACGCATCAAGTTTACATGAACGTACCAAGAGAATTGATATGAAAAGCCGATTACCGTAATCTCTTTCAACTGTATCTTATCTGCAGCTCTACCATCAGCTCACTATGTCTATTTTTGTCCAGATTTCTCATCAACCCTGCATCTCAATCTATTTTCGATGCCTGTTCGCTCATCTCGCTACAACTCTATCTGCCTTAGATTGCTCTCATTTCCCTATATCCTGTCTAGATGTTTTCTCTCATCTTAACTAAATCTCTCTTATCTTTGTCGACATTTCTCGAACCTCTGTTCTACGTGGCTACCCTTTGCTGTGCCGTGGTGGTGAGATATGAACTCCCTTGCCTGGTATACAGGAGGTCGGGGGTCGATCCCGACCCTGACGCCTGCATGTTCGGATTTTGTAAGTCCACCTCGTGGTCGGGTGGATTTTTCTCCGGATCCTCCGATTTTTCCCTCAACATTTAGAATCAACGTGTGTTTGGAGTATTTGGCTGTTATACATTTCCACGTGATAAGCCACTTCGTTGGAGCTATCATTTGTGGCCAGGTCGCTTCTGAAACAACTATATAGCTCAATGGGCCTTACCTGAAAAAAATAAAAAAGTTTAGTTAAAAAACATTATTTGCTAAGTTTAGTTTGTAAATATCTACTGTCATTTCACTACATCTCACATATGTCTCCATTTCTAGCATCTCAATACTATACGAGGATGGTACGAATTAAAAGGTGGGTTGGCGGGGGGGGTTATGCTCAGTGCTCCCCAAACGGACCACCTCCGATCAACACGGTAGGTTACGTGCGGTGCGAAAGAAGTTCAACTTGCGTACATACACTTGCGTACATACACTCGCGCACTGGCGCAAGCTGGAGTCGCCTCCCCCCCCTCTTGTCAACCACAAGGGCTTGCGGACGGAGGCAAGGATTTTTTTGCGTGGCTTGTCAACTGTGTCAAAGCAACGGCAAACAAAACACCTGGCATTCTTACGCCTCTTAACGACGGCTAATCCGCTCGCTCGCTCACTCCTGGCCAGGAGAGACGGCCTGAAACCGTCATCGTCGCCGTTGTTGATGTTGTTGTTGTCGAAAAGAGAACCGGTCTCGCATCTGTTAATTTGCCGAGTGTCTGCGATGACAAAGAGGCTAAAGTAAATCAACATGGAAGAGCATCGGCTGTTACAACACATCAGCTGCGGCATGCGATTGAGGTGAAGTTCAAAAATGTTATCGCCAACTCCGACCCCAAACCCTCCAACTGAGATATTTCACGGACCTGACTCCGCATGAACAATCCCCTCTGGACACATGGTGTGATGACGGGAAGCACACTTGGGCCTGCATGTATGTATGTTTCACTTATTTCGCGCCGTACGCAGCCAACCACGCTAATCCGCATACCGGAGATCGATGCTTCGATTCCATCAGACCTCCCGGCACGGCAGTTGAAACAAGTTTCTTAATTCCTCCCGCTTCTTTGTACGTACCAGTTGGGCGATTGGCAGCTGGCATGCGGTGAGGTAAAGTTATTGTAACGTTGTGACCTGCCCCATCTGAACATCTGTGAAAAAGAGCTTTGTAGCTCATCAGATTCCTCCAGTATAAAAACAATATTCTAATTCTGATTCCGTGCGTAATACTCCCAACATCTGGCCGGCATAGAAGAGTAGGCCCATTACCCTCCACAAGTGCTCTCTTGATCTCTCCCTTAAGTAGAGGTAGGCCCGTCCGTCAGTGGTGGGGTGAGCGAGTAATTGCGGGGCTGCACTTTTAACTTTTTTGTTTCTTTTAAACCTTACGCCCAATGTGTGTATATGTAGTTTATCAGCCCTGCTCAAACTACCGTCTAATTAGAATTCGTACATAATGGATGGATCCCTTTCAGGCCAACCCGGTATATTTTTTGCACTCAACACCAACTTGTTACGACAACCAGACGTTGAAGGGTTCTGTGTTATCTTTTCCCTCCCCAGACCTGCTCCGCCCTGACACCTACGCACACGTCTGGAAAGTTTCACCATCTTAGAGAAAGAGAAAAACAATCCAGACAACTGAACTCCTTGGAGGGCACGCGTTTTAAGAAGACGCACGGTCCGAACGCCGAGGGCAAACGCGGCACCTGGCGCAAGCTGGGCTCCGTGCGCAAGCCAGGGAGATGATCACTCGCAGGCCCCCGCAGCTAATTCAGCAGAGTAACGACAGTTCTGAGCCAAGCAGAGTGGTCAGGCTGGCACCGAGACCGACAGTCGAGCGAGTGCCACTTTCAGCAAAATAAAAAAACGAACAGCGTGCGGCGTCTCGCCAACAACATAGTCTCATCGGATCGAGGAGGCTAAGGAGGCTTGAGCCCAGTGAGTAACTTGGATGGGTGACCACCGCCAGGGCTTGCCAGGTGTTGTAGGCGCGGGGCTCTTGATGCGTGGCCAGGAGATGGCAGTGCCGGGTGTCACCCGCCCGTGCAAGTGGTTTGGCCAAAAAACACTTGTTCGTGATATTGTCCCAACGTCCAAAACGATGTAGGAGGCTTCTGTTGTGGCGTAGCAAGTGCTCTCCTGGGTTAAGTACCAGCCAATGTTAGCAGTGAGGTGCGAAGCGATGACGCAGTGGTGGGCACACCGCACTTTGAATCCAGCGACTCGAGTTCGATTCCCAGCCACGATGAACGTCAGTGGTGAACGACATCTGAACAGGTCCTAGGCAGCCTCTCCAGCAGACCACACAGACTAAAGTGATGAAGTGTGGTCAAACAACCCGCCAGACTGACACAGCATTTCCGGAGGCTTTCATCATTTCATTGCCAAGGGACTGAAATTATAATGATTGATTATGAAACGGTAAAAGATAAAGGTTCAGACCCTGCAATTGTTTGCTCGCTCCACTTCTGGCAGAGAGGTCTCCACTAGGAGGGAGCTCAACAGAACCCTCTCGGAAGGTATCTTGTCCCATTATTCCGCGCTGGCCAGCGTTAAGTACCACTCAAACCAAACGCAGACCTGCCTATCGACCAACTGCGGTGAGCCCATTTATACTGCGGGGTGGATGGAGGCAGTGGGGAGGGGGGAACGATTCAAGAAACTTGCCCCATTGTTTCGACTGACACGCCTCAAGACGCAATCGATCCTAACCCTGACGCCTGTTGTATGTTTGGAGTTTGCGTGTGTCTCTCTCTCTCTCCCCGTGGTCGCATGGACTTTTCTCCGGGTCCTCCGGTTTTTCCCTCCACTGTTAGAATCAACGTGGTTATCGGGTATTTGGCTCCCATAAATGTCCACGCGATAAGCCACTTCCGTTGAGCTATCATTTGTGGCCTGTTCCCTTCTGAAAAACAGCTGCTCAGTGGGCCTTACCTGGTAAAATAAAAAAAAGATTAATATTTTAGATCAGAATTGGCAGCCAACTGATTGGGCACATCCAGCGTTCCACCACAGCAGCAGCATCCCAGTTTATTAAAACCAGGGCAGCCTCCACAAATGTTCCAATGGAATGTCGCCGCAGTGACCTCAAGCGCTTAAGATATCCGTCCTCCGCCGCCGCCTCCGCCGCTTCAGCGACTTCCCGTAAATAACGAGACGGTTTCAGCCCGTGCAAGGAACGCGAGCACACGCGCGCGCGTTCGATCGATCGGCGCAAGCAAATAAATAAACAATCTACGAGCGGTCGCGTGCACGCGGGAGAGAGAATTCGGCGGTGTCGTCAACATGTCCCGCGCGCTGTTGGCGCGCGGGACATGATTAACCGTGGCCGTCTGGCAAATATTTAATAGAGAGTCTGGAGGGTTCAGACCGTGGCACTGATCTAGGAGAAACATCCGTTAATGGATGACCGCAGTTCCTCTCGCTAACACCACGCAGGCCGAAGGCCCGCGAGAAACACACAAGGGGGGGAGGGGGGCGCGGTGTTTGAGAGCGCCGAGAATAAGCGCGGCAAAAAAGACCCCGACCCCCAACCCGAAACAACGGTGCCCCCATTTTGGGAGAACGAGCGATGAAAAGTTCATTGCTCGCCATGGGAAACCGACGAGGATTGCGGGCAGTAAACGAGTTCTAAACAGCCAAATCGAGCTTCCCCGCATAGACGACCATGCAATAAAAATAGCCAAGTGGGCCGTCAACGGAGGCTCAGCCGTTGCTGTGCGTGAACGGGGTGCCAAGGGCGGCGACGCTGCGCCATCTGCGACTTCGCCTTGAAACGAGCGTTCGAGTCGCGCATTCCTGGCGCTGTTAAATAAATTGACTCCAAACGACGCGGAATTGACCCTAAGAAGTTGGGTTCACCGGCGAAGCTGAAACGGCCTTTCCTCAGCGGCCGGTGTTAGGCAATGCCTTCGAGCCACGTAGCAGCGGATATTCTTGTTGGGAGTGGGACGCGTGAAGGCTTAATGTGCTGTGCCCGAACGCTCCATTTCAAGTGACGTTGAGGGATCGAAACACGTAAGACGATGACAAAACTCCAAGTTCCTGAACGTCGCTGGTCTATTATAAACAGTTTGTCGCCCCATGTGGGTAAACATTGCACAGCATGCAATGTTTACTCGCCGTCAGTAAATCAAGTCGGGTATTCTAAACCACGTAAAGCAAATTGAAATTTCCAAACCCCTCTTTCACGAGTTGCAGGGGGGGTGTGCATAACTTGAAGTGAAAGATGGGGGTTTAAAATTCCCAGTTATAAATCTGGCCTCGCCCGGCATTGACAGCTAAGTCAGCCGTTTCCAACTGCAAAAAATGCGTGGGACGATGCACATCTTGCAGCACTCCCCCTGTGATGAGAATTCCACATTCCTTGTGGCAGGTGTGATGATTTTAGGAACGTCGGGGGTCAAAAAGTTGTTCAGTGGAAAGAGACGAATATGAGCAGGATGCGGTAGTTTCCTTTTCGTTTTTACAAATGCGACTGTGATCATGCATAGCAACACAACGGTGATCCTAAAGAAAAGTTAGTGCGCATCACCCGCGAAGACGCGCATCACAAACGTGGGCACCAACAAATATTTGTTTTGCTTATTTAGTCAAAGTGTTTCTGCACCAACGATCATCAGGTGGCATTCATCTCCATTCACGGTGGTGGAAATTCCACATTCCTATGACACGACAGTCACCCCGTAGAACAACCGCCGTTGATATCCCAAAAAAGCGGTACTCGCTTGTCGGGGGCCTTAGTTTTAATAGTTAAAAAAAATAGTTGAATGCGGTAGCGCGGCATGCAGGAGGCAGGGAGACGGACGGACGGACGGACGGACGGCCCTCACCTGCCACAGTCCATCTCGTCGGGCCAGGGGATGCCGAAGACCTCGCGCAGCTCGGCGCAGGAGTCCCGCACGCGGCCGCAGAGCGAGCGGCACGGGGGCACCACGCGGCCCGGCGGCGCGCACGCCGGCGCGAACATCGCGCACAGGAAGGTGCGCGCCTCCGGAGAGCACTCCAGCTTGAGCAGCGGGTGGAACGGCTGCACGCAGTAGGAGAGGGGGGGGTCACGGGGTCACAAGGTCAAAGGGTAATCAGGACACGGGTAGGGTGGGCAACGGCAGATAAAAAAAAAACTAAACTATTTTCTATTTTATCAGGTAAGGCCCACTGAGCTGTACAGCTCTTTTTCAAAGCAACCTGGCCACAAATGAAAAAGCTCAACGGAGATTTCTTATCACGTGGAAATGTACAGCAGCCAGATACTCTAAACGTATGTTTATTCTAAATGTGGAGGAAAAAAACCAGAGGACCCGGAGAAAAAATCCACACGACCACAGAGAGAACATGCAAACTATATACAGCAGGCGTTGGGGTCGGGATTGAACCCACGACCTCCTGCACATCAGGCTAGGGAGTTAACATATCGCCACCGTGGTGCCCCAACTTATTTTTTTATCGTAGGATTTTGGTAGGGGCACCCGTGGAGACCGAGCTGTGACGACGACGGCAACAATCGGCGTTCGATTTGTGGCCACGGCTAACGTCGTTCCTGATGCGGTCGCAGGTCACCCCTTCACTGACCCGCGATGGCGACTGAGTGGGGTCACACACAAACCCCCGATAACTCATACGTCACGCGGAGACCTTAATCCAGCAGCGGATTGACAAAAAACGGGCTGTACAGTTGCGTGAGTGTTTTCGTGAAGTCACAACCAGGAAGCGGCAGCGTCTATTACAGTGAAGTAAAGCGAGGTACACAGTGAAGATGATTGGGGAATGCTGTCGGCAGGTCCTATTGTCTACATTTATCCTAAGACTAGGGTGATGCACACGTGGAAGATTGCTTCGGGGATAATTCCAGTGGCGTCAAAACCACGGATTACCGTGGATGAAAGGATGAATTTACAGCTGACTTAATGGTTACTCCTCTTATCCGGATAATGGGAAGCATGGACCTGTGGATTATTAGAGGTGTTGGGATCAATTTTGGGGCACGGATAATAAGAACAGCGGTACCATTCGGGTATACAACTGGCATTTTTGTGTACATCATTGCTCAACGGTGTACACCTACACATTATACGACTGGACCGTTTATGATGCCAGGCCCTGCCGCAAGAGGTCTGCGCGTAGCCGCTGCACACGAGGTTGTCAAAAAAAATTCCAACAACCGAGAGCGGGCGATGGGCGCGCGCGCGCCCGCATTTTATTTAAAGCTGCCCCACAGCGGGGAGGCCGGCTCAAGAGAGCACACGCTGGGCAGACGACGTCTTCGCTGCCGTGTCACAGACCGAGTGGCGACAACGGTGGCGGCACAGTGCGGTGGGGGGGTTGCGGTGCAGCAGGGCTGGGTGACTCCCGGGTCAGGATCTTTACGGGGACTTTGCACAAACACGCCCCTCGGGATGCCGCGCGGCAGAAAACCGGGGGGGGGGGGGAGGAGGAGAGACGAGTCCCATTCAACGGCGCACTGTGCCTTTACAATAACACCGGCGGCTTCATTTCAACGCCACCGCGCTTGTCGTACATGTCATACGTTGTGGCATTAAGCGACATCAAAGGGGGATTACGGAGAGGGGAGGCTGAGAGCGAACGTGGCTGAAACGCTAGGTGCCGGCGGCAAGAGGTCGACAAAATGGTAGTCAACGACGCGTTAAGCCGGGCATTTAGGACATTTTCTTTGGTTCGCTTTACAATTATGAAGGAGGGAAGGGAGGGAAAAAAAACAAAACGTGCCGTCACGTAATCTTCATTGAATGCTTAAAGTATGTCGGCAAAAAAAAAAACAACCCGTCGATGCTATCGCATGTCAGCTAACTACAGCAATTCAGCCCGGGGCAGCTTCTGGGATTGCGCTGCTCTGCCGTGGTACAGGTGTGCGTTTCGTTTTACAATGGTTAGGTCAAGGTTGCCGAGTCTGCCCGGCACAATTACACGCGGCGGCGGCGGTGGTGGCAGCAGCGGGTGGCTTTGTGAGGCTCGAAAGGCTTGGAAGAAAGTCTATTGCGAAGCTGCGATCGCCCGAGCAGATATTATTTCGGCAGCAGCGAAGTGACAATCGCAGCTGTGTTTGCGTACCACGTTAGGGGGAAAAGTGGCACATAAACACAGCTGCCCGGAGAGAGGGAGTGAGACTCGTTAAGGTGAAAGTGGGAAAGACCTTCAAAAGCACCATCAAAGCTGTGGCCGACCGAACCAGTCTTTAGCTTCGAGGCTTAGGCAAATGTACCCGTTTGATATGAGTCTCGAACAGGGGTGGGGAACGCCCGGCCCGCGGGTCGTATAAGGCCCGCGAAATAATTTGGTGTGGCCCTGCCAAGGCAACCGCAGGCGGGACTCGAAATTCAATAAATTTAGGAGCAAACCTGGAAAAACAGTTGCGAGTAGCAAAACATCATTAATACCAGCTAACATCACACGCCTCGCCAAAAAGAAGCAGTTCAAGCCATCGCATTAGGGGTGAGTTAATTAAATGTGGGACCAAATATAACAGGCAAATTTTTAAGTTGAAAATGTTGTATGACCCGCAAATGATGTTATAAATATCCAAATGTCCCTTGCCAGAAAAAAGGTTCCCCACCCCTGGTCTCGAAGGGCCGATATAGCCCTAAGAATAAAACATACCAAACAACGCAATTTGGATTTACACGGTTGTCGAACACTGGCCGCACCTCAAGAAGCTGCTGGCCTCTTCAACAAGGCCAGGGGCTCAAACTGACTTTAACGCTCAAACTGACTTTAACACAATATCTGCACAATGACACCCTGTCATATTTGCACTGTTACCTAATTTGCATTTTTGTAATTTTATATTGTATATTATAGCTATTGTATATTTTAGATTTTATTTTATTCAATTTTACATACTTTAGCTCCTTAGTATTAGTTAGACTTGTACCTTTAGTATAGTTAAACTTGTACACCACTTATTCAAGATTTAAGATTCCTAAATGTTGAATGTATGCACCTTCCGGCCAAAGTAAATTCCTTGTCTGTGCGAACTTTCATGGCGAATAAAACCCTTTCTGAAAAACCCTTTCTGAGGAGAATAAGAAAGATTTTGTCGCGCCAGAACTTGCAACAGGGGGCAAGGAAATCCGACGGCACAGACGGCTGGGAAAACACTGCTCTTGCGTGTCACGCAATGTCGTTAGAAAGCACAATTAGACGTGTCGATTTTTTTTTCATGAAGAAAACAAAGCTCATCTTACCGAAGTCTTCATTTCAACGAGTCAATTCTTTAGAGCTGCTTTTTGCGTTAAGTCTGTTGTCCTTGCCCCCGCACCTCCAGATTATCACGGCTGGCTACGTACGGTGCAAAAGAAGTTCAACATACACACAATGTCTGGGAACTGAATGGTTAAAAAATACAGCACAATGGTTCTTGGGAATTGAGCAAAAGAGCACAGTTTAGGTAACGCCCAGCGAGTTGTTTACCTTGCGCCCACACAGCGCTGGGGGTGAGATTTTCCGTGCAACTTTTCAAGGTCGCTGACACTCCGCGTGATAGGCCTGAGATTTACACAATCGTTTCTGGCCTCCTACTCTTTGCACAGGGTGCGAAATTACATCAGTGCTTGTTGCCGGTGTCAAAATGATGAAAAATAAAAAGAGGCGTTTTACCCTTGCCGGCGATGAAACACAGGAGGCGTTAAAGATGTTCCAACACCAAATAAGAACACATCTATTGCGAGGCATCAAGTCCGCTTTAACCACCACACATTGCTTGTGGTAAAACATGCAAACAAACATGCTTTTATCATAACACTATGGGCATTGTCTTTGAAACTGATTGGACCACACTAGAGACAGCCTCCTTGATGGCCCTGTCGCACCGTTCTTCTGGACTAACCCTGCCGATGCAGACGTGATGCCTTGCAATCAGGTGTCCCATGTCGTGTTTGAACATCGTTACCCACAATGGCACCGTCTATGATCGCATGAATCCACAAGCTAGCAGCAGCACGTCCCAGCAACAAGGATTAAGATTTGTTTGACTAAAACTAAGATCCGAATCTGGGGACACCGTGTGACTGTTCCGACAAAGCCAGAGGTGTCTCCTGGATTTGTATTGCTTGAACAAACCATTCCCAACTAACAGCTACAAAAGAATTACCCAAAAAACTCTGCACGCTGAAAATGGGAGTTTTTCAGTTAGCCTTTTTGTTGACCTAGGTGAAAGGTTGTAGGTGCGTACATAACTCATCATAAATACCATCAGTGATTTGTCACTGCTGGTTAGACTGAGCCCGAAGAAAATGACTCAGTTTTAGTGCTGTGACCCACAGACTGACTCAGAAAAAAAAATAACAACTTCAGTTTCCTCCCCCCCCATTACGCACATCGTGCCTTGATGGTTGAATTTGTATTTGCAAAGTGGATGCGACGAGGAGGACACGGGGATGGGGGGGGGGGCACCCCAATATGGCTGGGGGGGGGGGGGTGACACGTGGGGGAGTGCGGTTCCGGGCTGCAGAAACACTGCCTCTTCCACCCCATCTCCCACCTCCCATCCCCCATCAACACAAACTCTGGCCAAATCAGATGTCTCCACCCCAGGGCTGAAAAGCCTGGCTTGCTGAACAACGCCCCCCTCCCAACTCCAGACCCCCACACCCGCAGAGCCACTCCCCCACCCGCACCCCATCCCCCTCCTCCGTTTGCCAAGCACGGCTCACTATCTTAATTAAAAAAACATCTCCCCCGACAATTCGCGAACCCAGCACTGCACATGCAGTGGCGACGAGTTTCAAAAGAACTCGCCACATTTGTCGCTTACACTTGTCTTTACTTCTTCATCATGATTCTCAGCCACAAGTACCTGCCTTATAATGTGTGGCTCTTCTTGAGTAATATCCACGACCCTTGCTTCGAAACGCGTACACTTACAGAGCCATAAACTCACAGATACTGACATAGTCCATAGACATATATTGAAATGCAGACTCATAGAGATACTCACATACACTTAAACAGACACACGTAGACCCACATAGAATACCTCGAGGTACACAGATGTCAATATTTTTTAAGCCAAAA